CACAATCCAGTTTTGTTCAAAATAATCCTCCCACTTATTCAGTAAGCCAGATATAATTGAGTTGAATATTTGAATTGGTACACAACACTATGGAAAACGTTGATCTGAATATTCAAGTACTATAATTATTATTAAGCGCAGCTGTATTTATTGTTAAATCTATACAAATAAATAAAATTTAAGTGTCTGTTTGTAATGTTAAAATAACAGCTTTTTACTAAATGCAAATGAAAGGTATACGGGATGTTTATAATTTTTGGTCTGCTTGACGTGTGTTTGTTTCGGTTTATCTACGAAACGGCTGGCCCGATTTTGACGGAACTTTCACTGGCTGATAACTGGCGTTATGAATTGGCTGCTTTTATTATAGAAAAAGATATAATAAGTTTGAAAAAATATCTTATGTATGGGGTGATAGCTTTTAAAACGATTTTGAAATCAATATATCATATATTGAATTAAAAATAATTATGAGTAACGTGAACGTATCAGGATTTGATTTAAGTTTGTCCATGTCGTTTTTTTCTGGAAAAAAAACGCATTTTTTATATTTTTCCGAAAAAAACATGATGTCACAAAAAAACATAAAACACAAAATCATCGCCCAGGTACTTACATTTTTTTATAATACTCAAATCTACCATATTTTCATTGTCAATACTTGAGCCGTTAACTCGTAATAAAAATTATAGCTCCATTTCGCTTCACTGACGTCGGTAAATGCGACGTTTTTCGCTGTTCTCGTTGATTTAATTTGTTTGTGCATTATAAATATAAATAAATAAATAAATATGTCTGGACATTAACACACAACACCATCTAGTTCCATGGTAAGCTACGAGGCTTGTGTTATGGATACCAGATAGTTGATACATTATACATATATAACTTTAAATTTATACATATTATAAATATAAACATCCATGGCTGGAGTACAAACATTCGTGCTCATCACACAAATGAATGCCCCCAGCGGGACTCGAACCCGCGACCGCTGGCGCAGCAAGTAGGGTCATTACAAACTGACCCAACGGGTCGTCGTGTGCATTATAAATTATATAAAAACAAAATTGTTTGAATTAATTTTAATTTAATTATATCACCTAACCGACTTATGTCACTTAAACTGTTTCCATACTTGCCGCTTCGCTATTTTCAAAAAGTATACTACATAATTGTACACGTACTTTAAAAGCAGTTCATACAGTCTAAAGTATCCATCGTATGAAGTAAAGAGAAACTTTAAATTTTTTATGTACAATTTTATGTTTTTTAAGCATACTCGTAGGCTTAGAACGATATAGATATGTGCTTTTCTCAGCATCTTGTAACATGTCATTTAAAAAAAAAATGTTATGGTTTTTATGTGGTTTTATGGAAATATTATGTTTAATATAGGGTTAGTTTATAGAAAATTCTCTGAGGATTGATATAGACAGAGTGTCATAGAACAAAACATGAAGCTAAACCATAATGTTTTAAAATAATCTATACTAATATTATTCTCGTAAAGAGGTAATGTATGTTAGTTTGTGACGTTGTAGGGGGTAATTTCTGAATCTACTGAACCGATTTAGATGAAATTTGATAAGAAGTTAGTTTGAGACCCTGGGAAGGACATAGGTTACTTTTCATCCCGGAAATCATCACTAAAAGGCGTGAAAATGGGGATGAAAGTTTGTATAGGGAATCAACCTAGTATATTATAATGTTTTAAAATAGTATACAATTAACAATTAGCCTTATTCTTAGCAATACACAAATTAAATGTATCATCACAAGTCAATAATAATGAACAAACTCATTTTTCTCTAATATTATTTAGAGCTAGCGACTTACCCTCGATCCGCTCTGGTTCTTCCCTCGTTACGTTTTAAAGTTTGGTGTAGAGTTCTCAGAGATGAGATATTTTCCTGCAGTAAAGCTTATTCTATATGTTGACCCGGATAACCATCTATCATCATACCAAATTTCATCAAAAAGTGTGCAGTAGTTTTCTTGTGATGCGTTCCCAGACAGAGACAAAAATTCTAAAAAGTATAGATTCGGATTCTGTATCGATAATAATAATTAATGATTATTTTAATAAGATTTAAAAAAAATATTTAATGTACAGATTCGACACAGAATTTTATTATATGTATAGATATAGATTATATTTACAGGCTTTTAGCTTGCAATATTTGTCAATTGATATGTTTATTTAGGTCAAACCTAATAAAAGAATTACCTTAAAATATGTAGATATACTCGTATGTAAAACATTGGTCCAAAGCTCGATAATTATTTTTGAAGTCTATAGCTACGAGTACATATAATAAAATTCTAACTAAGCCGAATCTGTACATGAAATATTTTTTGGCAAAACCTTATTGCGATAGACATTATTATCGATACTGAGGCCGAATCTATAGTTTTTAGAATTTTTGTCTGTCTGTCTGTCTGTCTGTTACTGCATCACGGAAAAACCACTAGAGGGATTTTGATGAAATTTGGTATGAAGGTAGCTGGTTATCTGGGTCAACATATAAGATACTTTTTATTGCGGGAAAATATCTCATTTCCGAGAAAAAATACAAAAACTGCAAGAGTATACTAATATGTAAAACCTAAGAATTTGGTATTTGGTCTTTTGAACGCGGGCGGAGCCGCGGGCAATGCTATATTTATATATATCCAGTTTAGTTATAATTTTATTATATGAATAGATTACAAGTCAAATAAAATATAACAAAAATGTAGTATGTATATATGTATGTATAGTATATGTAATAAAAAATATATGTAGTACTATCGTTGTGTAGCAATTTAGTAAAATAGCTCTAGGTTTTTGCACCTTTTTGGCGTCTGCGATCATATGCACAGACCGTTGTTGGATAAATAAAGCTTACATTCGTAGCATACGAATTGGGCTCGTAGAAGCAACGAGGTTCGGTTTGTGTTTGCATAATATTAATAAGTAGAGTATTCGTTGCTTTGTTTTAGTTTAGAATTGTTGAGTTTTTTGAGCTTTGATTTTGATTTGATTTGCAAGTGTTTTTAATTTTTTAATAAATTCTTAAGTCATATATTGAGTACTAAAATGTATAGGTTCTACGCCAATTCTCCTTTCAAAGAATTATTTTTTTCACTTTTTCCGGGTATAACGTAGTCCATTAATTAATAATAAGAATAGCAAGTTTTCGATTTAACACTTTTGAAGTAGCAGACGGTTTGAAATATTTTCGCACTTTTAATATCAGTTACAATACGGTTGATCGCTCGGTAAATTCAAGAATCAAACCCGTTGCTACTAATACTGTAACTTAAACCGGAAAATCGACCCAAAAATATTTGTACCTTACTTCAATTAATTGTAGGTACATAGCTACTTACCTGGGTGACTGAGCTTCGTTGGGTGTAGGCGCTCGTTCAGGAAAAAGGCTTTTATAATTTAGTTGTAAAATTTTATTTTTTTTGTGAAAAATTGCAAAAAAATAGCTATATGTATATTACAAACTTAAAAGGATAATTTACGGGATAAAAACTGTCCTATGTCCTTACCAGGGTCTCAAATTATCTTTTCATCTAAATCGGTTCAGTAGTTTCGGAAATTATTCCTTACAAACAAACAAATTTTTATTCTTTATAATATTAGTATAGACTAGCGACTCACCCTGGTTTCTCTCAAGCTCATCCCAAGGTACGTTTTAATTTTTTTGAACGAAACCCTGATTGTTTTTCTAAAATAAAAGTAGCCTAGGTTAGGTACTCCCTATTACACCAGCTGTCTTCCAGTGAAAGTCCTGTCAAAATCAGTCCAGCCGTTTCAGAGATTGCTCATTTAATATTATAAGATATATGTAAAAATCTTTTACTTTTCCCAAGAAGCAATCAAATGCATTACATTTATATCCAAACCAGATGTACCCACTAGAGATACTAATACAGTGAATACGCATATAACAGATTTATGTGGACTCATATTATGAGAGAGGTTGAACGCTCTGTTTACAGATCAAATAGTACTGGATATTTGATCGATATTCATCGGAGGTATGGTGGTAAGTTACGTTTTAAATAGAAAATGGGGGCTCGCTTTGAATGTTTCAAGTTTCAATTACTATTCATAGTCTATATGTTATATAAATACGAATTAAATTGTATAAGTAATGAAGGATTTATTAGTACAAGTGTTCGCCTAGTGGTAGAATCATTTTAAATAAAACTGCGGGTCTCTCCCGTGACTATGATTGCTGTAAAGCATTCAAAACGTCGGGAGTCAAATATCAAAATAAGTCAGCGAAAAATCCGAAAATATGTGTAGTTTTATTTAAAATGTCAAATATTCGCGTAAATCTAAGAAAGTATTGTAATAATTATTATTAATAATTTGAAGAAAACATAATATATGAATAGAATTTTCCTATCTATATAAAAAGTAACTTTTTCCAAGCATAGCATTTTTTTTATTGATTACACTAAAGCTCCTCAATATTAAAAAAAACGATCGACAAAGACAGGAAAAAAGGTACTGAACTATATGATGAAGGTAGGATATAGACGACACGTTTTGCTCACTGTGTAGTGGCCCTTCTTTTTGTGCCGGCGGTCGCGGGTTCGAGTCCCGCTAAGGGCATTCATTTGTGTGATGACGAATGTTTGTACTCCAGTCATGGGTGTTTATATTTATATTATGTATGTATTTAAAGTTATATATGTGTAGTGTATCAACTATCTGGTATCTGTTACATACATGTATTTTATAAGTAGCAACATTATTGTCTATTGCACTCTGTAGTCGCTGGTGTCATGTCTGCCGCTCCGCTTATATTAATTAACTATCGTCCAGTCTTATTATTATAATAATAAACTAAAAGTCAATACGCCTAATCACGTTCTTATCATTACGCCCGACCACCCAACATGGTGTCAGAGTGGTTTTAGTCAAAAGAGAAGCCTCAAGAAATAGTCATTAGTCAATCAAGTCGCCGCATGCCACGTTTCGTCAGCGTGCTAAGATGTCGGAAAAGACAAAGTCAGAAGATAAAAACCAGTCTTACCTAGGAGCCATGGGAGGTCTTCTCAACCCGTTGAACATAAATTCAAGCAACATGCCATTAGAATGGAAAAATTGGCTCACCCAACTTAAAATATATCTTCGTGCCAACATGTTAGAAGACAGCAAGGACAACAGGAAGGTAGCTATTCTGTTGCATCACATAGGCAGAGACGCCTTGAATATATTTTATTCATTTGGCCTTGACATCGACACTGTCACTTTCAAAGACCTTATCCAACATTTTGAAAAACATTTCTTGCCGCAAATCAACGTCACAATAGAGCGCCATAAGCTGTTCAACAGGCGACAAGGAGATGATGAGTCGATTGAGCACTACATAACAGATCTTAAAAACATAGCCAGTCAGTGTGAATTTAAAAACCAAGATGACATTCTCCGCGATATCTTTAGTTGGAATCTCAATGCAAACAACCAATTTATTAAAGAGAGAATTCTTCAAGAAAAGCCACAGACATTAGACAAAGCAATTGAGATAGCGAAGCACCAGGAAGCTTCTAGAAAACAAGCCAAGATGTTAGAAAGTACACCTACAGCCACAATTAGTGAAGTTAGTAGAAAAGCAAGGACACAACAGGCATCCAGGTCAAGACACACATCTAGAACAAGACAGACATCCCAGCTGAGACAAGACAGTCAATCAAGACAACCTTCACGGAACAGGCAACCGGAGAACAAGAGATATGGCAATAATAAAGAAATTTGTAGCCGTTGTGGTCAAGTTCACCGCTATAGATGTCCAGCCAACGGAGTCCAATGCAAAATATGTAAGAAATACAACCATTTTGCAGTCATGTGCAGATCGAGAAGGACTATCCGTGCAGTAACACAAGAAAATATCAAACCTGAAAGCAATGAAGACCAATATTTTATAGGAACACTGAAGTGCGAAGAACAAGATGACAAGTGGATGGCGGATATTGTAATTAATAGTCAAGTAATTTCTTTTATGTTAGATACTGGGGCAGACACAAACATAATTTCGTTAAACACTTTCACTAAACTCAACTTACACACAAAAGACATTAAACCAAGTTCACATAAACTTTCAACATTCAGTGGTCATATACTACCGACAGTAGGTCAATGCACTATCAACATTTCATACAAAAATAAGAATTACTTAGTAAACTTTCACATAGTAGATTTAAACTGTCAAAATACACTTGGTAGAAAAACATGCAAAATATTAAACTTGTCAGCTTTTCTCCTACAACACAGACCAATTCACAGGACATTATTGAGAAAAATAGAGACCTCTTTGAAGGTCTGGGCTGTATCCGTGATTTAGAGGTTAATCTTACCTTGAAACCTGATATAACTCCTTCAGTCGACGTGTGCAGACGCGTGCCTCTACAGCTACAAAATCCTCTAAAGGAAGAGCTATTGTCATTAGAGAAAAGTGGTGTGATAAAACGTGTCGAAGAACCAACCGAATGGGTAAGTTCAATTGTATTAACTACTAAAAAGAATAAAAAATTACGCCTATGTATAGACCCTCGTAAACTTAACCAGGCTATCATGAGACCTCACTATCAGTTCCCATCTATTGACGAGATCAAGTCTGATCTTGCTGGTGCCAAATACTTCAGCACACTTGATGCTAATAAAGGTTTTTGGATGCTTAAGCTTAGTGAACATTCTTCTAAATTATGCACATTCATTACACCTTATGGTCGATATAGGTACACACGTTTACCCTTTGGTATAAATGCAGCACCTGAAATATTTCATAGTGAGATGGTGAAAAGATTTGGAGATCTTCCAGGAGTTAAGATCATGATGGACGACTTCCTAGTGTATGGTAAAGATCTCTCAGAGCATAATGAATGTCTACAAAAAGTCTTACAGAGAGCACGAGAAATCAATCTCAGATTTAACAAAGAAAAGTCAGTCATTTGTCAAACAAAGGTAAAATACCTAGGTCATGTATTCAGTAGTCAGGGAGTAAGTGTTGATGACACCAAAGCCGAAGCTATATGTAAAATGTCAAGACCGCAGTCAGTCACAGAGCTTCAGAGATTTCTAGGTATGATCAATTATTTAGGCTCTTTCATAAAAAACTTATCACAGGAAACAAGTGAATTGAGAAAATTATTGAAAAAAGATACTACCTGGTACTGGTCAGAACAGCATGAAAACGAATTTACTAACTTAAAGAAAATTATCAGCTCCGCACCAGTCTTAACTTACTATAACCCTAATAAACCTTTACTTTTATCTGTAGATGCATCTAAAGACGCCCTGGGAGCAGTCTTGTCACATGGAAATCAGCCAATAGCCTATGCCTCTGCATCTCTCACAAGTTGCCAACAGAACTACAGCCAAATTGAGAAGGAACTACTAGCAGTTCTCTTTGGCTGCACCAAATATCATCACTACATATATGGTAGACAGGTAACTGTGGAGACAGACCACAAACCTCTCATTACATTATACAAAAAAGCATTATATGACATACCCCCTAGACTTCAAAGAATAATGCTCAGACTACAGCCATACGATTTACTTGTAGTATACAAACCAGGTAAATACTTATACATAGCAGACACCTTGTCACGAGCAGCCTTGCCTGATAATACACTCACAGACCTAGAAAAAGATATAGACTTACACATTAACTTAGTCATGTCAACTTTGTCAGTAAGTCCAAATAAGCTTAAAGAGATAGAAGAAGCTACTCGTAAAGATCAAACTCTTAGTCAGATTATTCACTTTTGTCAAAATGGTTGGCCAGAGCACAAAAAGTCAGTCAGTCAGTCAGTAAAGCCATTCTTTTCTTACAAAGATGAAATTCATGTCATTAATAACATAGTCTTTAAGTCAGATAGCATTATTATTCCAGAGACGTTGAGAGAAAATATATTGAAAATCATTCATGAAGGTCACCAAGGCATAAATAGTTGTATTAGATTAGCAAAAAATAAAGTTTTTTGGCCTAACATTAATTTAGATATTGAAAAATACATAAATCAATGTAATATTTGTCTTACTTACCAGAGAAATAATTCTAAAGAACCTATTATATGTCATGATTATAAACTAATTCCTTGAAAATATAATTAACACAAAAGTCAAAATCTAGTATTTATTATAATCAACACACAAGACAACTTAAAGAACTAAACATTGGAGATAAAGTATACTATAAAAAGGTACCAACAAGTACATGGACACCAGGTATTATATCACAGGTAGGTCCACAGCCACGTAGTTATATTATCCAGTCACCCGAAGGAACCTTCCGTCGTAACAGGCAACATATCCTAAAACCGAAACAACCCCTATCTTCTCCAGGTCCTTCCAGTCCAATTCCAGTCCTTGATCAACCGCAGTCCAATTATTCAGCACCAAAGTCTTATTCTTCCTCCAGTCCGGCTCACCAACCTGAAACAAAAAACATTGATCAACAAAACACAAACATTAAATACTCTTCACATGGTCGCCCTATTATTAAACCCCGTCGATATTGTCAATAAAATAAATTTATTGTAATAATAAGATTATAAGTTAAAGTAATAAGTTAAGATTACATATTAAAATTTAAGTTAAGAATATGTTTGTGATACATTTATAAGAAATGTCACTTGTCAGTTGTCATTAATTGTCAAAACCAAATGTCACTAATTGTCATTGTAAAATCGGATTAAAATTGTACTTACGATACGTTCCATTCCATGTAACTTGCAAACATTGTAAAACATAGTTTTTTTTAATTTGCAAAGGGAGATGTTACATACATGTATTTTATAAGTAGCAACATTATTGTCTATTGCACTCTGTAGTCGCTGGTGTCATGTCTGCCGCTCCGCTTATATTAATTAACTATCGTCCAGTCTTATTATTATAATAATAAACTAAAAGTCAATACGCCTAATCACGTTCTTATCATTACGCCCGACCACCCAACAGTATCCATAACACAGGCCTCGTAGCGTACCATGGAACTAGACGGTGCTGTGTGTTAATATCCCGGCGTATTTATTTATTTATTTTATGAGTGTACCTCTGATTGTTTCCAATCTTTTAATTGACTGATTCATTGTTATACCCTTCGGTGTCCCTTTGCGCTTTTGTTGACTTATAAACACGAATTTGTTTATAAAGGTACGAGCGTATTTTGTTTTGAAACACTCCTTCAATAAACGTGTACCTTTACATATTAACGACGGTTATTTTTGTTATGATGAGCAATGTACTAGACTTTTAAACGAAATCGATATGTCAGTTTGTAAATAAAATGATAGAAGAATAAACCTTCTTTATTATAAAGATGTTTTTTTTAAATTGCAACCTTATTTAAAACAATTATTTAAGAGCTTCTCGTATTGTAATTTTTTTGTACTATATGTATTTTTTTTATGATTATAATATCTTTTATGAACGGATGAGCTTTTTTCGTTATACTGAGTCTCAAATTATAGCTGATGTTATAAATTGTGACATTATTTATGATTTATGGCAAAAAAATATTCGTCATTTGTTTTTTGTATACGAGATAGTTATTTGATAATGGGCTTAAGGAGCTTTTGTAGAGCTTTTGATTTTAGGTATTACAATTCAATTCAATTTTCTTGTTAACGGCTTCAAAGCGTGCCAGTTGAGCACAGATTAATTCGCCAATATCACGTAAAATGGAGAAGTCTGGGTATTACTCCATAATACAATGTCAAACTCTATCGAGTATAGCATTATTGGTAAAGCTGTTAATTCCAGTTTTCATGGCGAAGTTATTTACTGTCGGTTGACAGGAAAGTGAGCGTTTTTGGTTACGGACAAACGGCTGTCAATCACATGGTTGTGTTTAGGAAAAATAATAAAACAACGTCCTATCAAGAAAGAATATTGGATATAGAAAATCTTTTTCTACAAAAAGTTTAGATTGGTTTTGTATATTTTTCCTACTATATACTTAATAAAAAATCGTTTAATGTTTAATGCAACAATGTATCTAAACCACTGGCTTTGACAACGTGATTTTTTTTAATACAAGAGTTACTGGAGTAACGTGATTACTGAGAAAAGGTTTAAAAAAACTCCTCGCAAGGGATTAAATGTACATATTTTTGAACCAGGTTACCTTTGTTAAAATTACATTCTTTATTATTATACCTTATAAGCCACTAGTTGATAAGTCAGTCTTTACTTCGATACAAATATATATATATATATATATATATATATATATATATATATATATATATATGTGTGTGTGTGTTTTTCATAGAGTGGTCTATTGTTAAAAAATAACTGGGTAGAGGTAAGAGTGTAAGTAATACAGTGCTCTACATTTTATACATATACACAAATTATATGCATACTTCAAAACACAGGTGAAAATTTTTATTATTCGCATATATAATTATTAAAATATGGCTTTTTAAACCAATTAATAAGTGCCAGACAGTACTCTAGCTTTCAAGAGCTATCCAACTCGCATATAATTTACGGGTTTTCAACTCGTATGAGATTTATATTCACTTCCAAGTTACAGTTATAAAGTACTAAATATTAAAATTTTGTTCACACAATAAATTCAGTGTGGTAATATTTTATTAAGAATTTTATCATATTAAGTATACACATTAAGTTTTCTGTTAGTCTATTTACTCGTAAGATGAAAAATATTTTATTCAATGTTGATATTTCAGAAATAAACTTGTTATTCGTCCAAAACTTTACCAGTAGTTTGAAAGTAAACGTCAGTAACGAAGAAGAACTGCCGAATATATATCTTTATTAAAGTTTTATGAACATCTTTTAATATATAATTAAAAATGTACTCATTTTATTTAACATTTTTATGTTTTTAATGTTGTTTTTGTTATGATTTCACATCATTTCTATAAAATTCTTTATTACACGAAAATAGTATTTGGCATGCGAAGCATTCTTATACTTATTAGTAAACGACATTTTTTATACTAGTGGCTAACCTACGCTTCGCTTGGGTTTGCCTCTAGTGAAACAAAAACAAATTATCCCACGGGAACTGTACATTTTTCTGGGATAATAAGTAACCTATGTGCTATTTTAGACTTTAATCTATCACTGTGCCTTTCATCCAGATTCGTTCAGCCGTTTTGGCGTGATAGAGTAACAAACATTCATCCAAACATCTAAACTTTTACATTTATAATATTAATAAGCTTATGCAAAGAATAGCTTTGTGAACTTTTTCTGGGATCTTCTAGTAGAAAATTAATAGTTTTAGTCACTCAATTTCCGTTTAATTTGTTAAATTTTTCCATCAATCTATTAACTCAAGTTGGAGGTCGTCCAAAAATACAATTTTCTTTATAAAGAATATCATATAATGCATCCATCTTGCCCGAAAAAGCAAGTCATATAGATGACTAACATACCGAAAAATTCAGCACTAACAAAGAAAAATCACTGTAGCCCGTGATAAATTACTTTGAATGTTATCTTTTACTTTATTGATTAGTTAAAGTGAATTTAATATTGTTTTAACAGTTTTACTTGTGCTTCTTTATGTATTGTATATATTAACATACGATTTACCCTAGCTTCGCTCGGGTGCGTCCCTACGGACTTTTTAAATAGGCAAAAAATATAATTAGCACCTCATTTACAAATTTTTAACCCCTATGTCACCCCCATCAAGTATTTCAATTTTTTTCTAAATGTCAAATTCAATTCAATTTTGTTGTTCTTAGCTTCATAACGTGTTAGTAGAACTAAAGATTATTTTGCTTTTTGATTATTAATATACGAGGGGTTTCAAATTAAAACGATAACTAATAATTAATATCGACTTCCAAAATTTTATTATATGATTAGCTACCACTAAAACTAACTAGAATTATGTAAATCTGCATCAATTTAGGTATTTCGATACATAGTTGTACAATTTATACGAGTGTGCTAGAGTACTAGACAATCACTGACGTCAACACTTTTATTCGGATAAAAAATATCGGGTGCGGTCTGAAAATGAACAATCGCATCGGTAATCCGTAAAGCCAGTTGTCAACAGAAAAGTCGGGTGTTCCCAATACGTTCGTGTAGGTCCTTGTTGCTTTTATTGGCCAGTATTCAGCCCCTTTATTCGAAATTATGATTTAAATTATATAGTACTAGAGATTTACCCTCACTTCGCTCGGGTTCGTGGCTAGGTACGTTTTAACGGTTAGTATAGAATGGACTATATGTTCCAAATACAAGCTTTCCACCCCTATTTCACCACCTTCAAGTTTCATTTTTGCGGAAAAAGTTAGCCTATGTAGTTTTCCACCGTCTTATCCATCTCTATAC